TATAGTCGATCAGGTTGGCTCTGCAAATTTTGCTGTCAACAGGATCTGAAAAGTTTGGACCCAACAAACTCTAGTGAATATTGAGTTGTCACTTATCTAACTCATTAAATTCATGTGAAAGACAGTCGCAGAGATTTCTCAAAAATTTAATCTTTTTTCTGAAATACTTTAGTCAAATAATGTTTTGCTACAATAATCAAATTTACTTAGGAATTGTTAATATTCCTCAAGATTTATATCTATTAAATAATAGGAAGCTGTTATAGCTAAGATAATATTCTCGTCACTTCAATAGTTCAAAGGATCTATGTAAAATTTAAAAACGATACAAAATATCATCTCTAAATTTATTCATTACAACTAATTCAATTGTTGAAATACGTAATATTTCATACTCGATTTCATCAATAACACGAATAAGAAGTGAAAATGCATATCGAGCAATTTTTTTCTTGTTTTCAAATTGATCAAAGTATGTATAACGTTGAATAAGCTTTTCAACCAGATCACTCGGAGAAACAAATGTACGATATGTTGTTAAAAATGCTTCTTGATAGAGAAAATCTAAATAAATGAAAAAAACATAATGTGATATAAACATTGATAGTATTTGATAGATTACCTTTTTTATCGGGTGATGTTGCTCGAATAATCAATGCATCAATAGAACCACCACGTAATGGAGGATCTTCATTCTATTAGTTTTTAAAAAGATATTCAAAAGAAAGTTATTAAAAAAATTCTTTTTACCAAATTAAAAACAAGTAAATGAGATACACTCTCAAGAAATAAATCGTTAGTATATTGATTTTTTTCATTACAAACATTATCATCATGTATATTTAAATGATCTATTGATATACTATCTTTAGACTAAAGTTTAAAAAAAATAAATACGGATTGCTTGATTTAGAAAACAAAATTAATTTTTTTTACAGATTTGTAATGAACATTTTTCATTATTCCTTCTTTATTTTTCAAACATTCATCACTATTTGAAAATATTTGTGAATGTGGAAAGTGTTGATGAATTTGTTCAAATAAATCTTCAAAACGGCGTTGTGATGCAGAAATAAAACATCTTTCACGAAGAAATAATTCAGCTTCATTTTGATCATATCGATCGAATAGAGACATATATGCTCGAGCTAAAAATCAAATAAAAGAAAACATTTTTTAAAGTTTCAATCATATGTTTATCGAGATCTTATTGACTAGTTCGTAATTAGATAATAACAGCAACATTCATATTTAATATTCTATTCGAAAATAATTGTGTCTCAATTTGACATCAATAATTATTTAGCTGTTTATGCATAACTGTCAAAATCATTTGATAGAATTTCTTCTTCCGTTTCCGATTTCACACTGTTGTTATAATTTTTTTGCGCTGTTATGTTTCCTGTTTTGTTTTATCAACAAATAAGATTACCTATTTGTCGCTTCGGTGGCAATGGTGGTGGATCATTTGCTGTATTTGTCCTTGGATGTTCCTTATTGTCAACAAACATATTTTGTTGACTTATAGAATTGTTTTCAAATGGATATTTTGTTTCACATAAAACATCAATACTATTTTGACGACGTGGTGATATAGACGAGTGATTTTGTTGAGGTATATAATCGATTGATGGTGAACGAATTGTTGTTTTTGTACGTAAAGCATCATCAAGTTCACGAGTATATCTTTCAACAATTTGATTAATATCGTCAACAATTAATTGAATACATTCATCATTATTTTGTTCTTGTGATGATGGAAATAGTAAAGAATTTGGACTAGCTGTATTATGAGATTGATTAGATAGGATTGAAGCTGATGAACTCACAGAACGTTTTTCTCGTTTTATAGGAAGAGTTGAAACGAAATTATCGATACAACTATTAGAGAAAAACAAGTATTAGTTAAAACAATACTGATTATTTTTATATTATTTACTTGTTGATTGAATGAAAACTTTGAAATGAATCTGAACGTGTTTGTATCGATGATGTAATACAAATCTACAAGATAAATGAATACATATCAACGAATTTTTCATAATCTTACTTGAACAGCCTGCAGAAGATCTTTTGCAATTGTTTGATATCTATCATCAGCGGTTGTTTTTGAAAAAACTACCCTATCCGACCATTCAATTAGATCAGCTAATAAAGAATAAACATCAGTAAGAAGATTTGTTCTACAAGAAAAAGATATATCATACGAAAAGAAGAATTTATGAAATAATTTCATACCGAAATGATTCTGATTGATGTTCAAATATTCCTTTTAATATATAATCAATATCAAAAATGTTTTCAATTAATGATGTTATAATATTCGCTAATATTTCAAGTTTATTATGTGTTAAAACTTGATCAAGATAACTTAATGATTTATAAACTTCTTTTTCGCATTTATGTAATCGTTCATAAAATGTTTGAGATGTCTATTGAAAAGAAAATAAACAAAATCATTGTTTATGTTATCTTAACATACCGATAATGAATCATTACTAATCATAGAGTTTCGATCAATTTTTTGACTTGAACGACTACTATTTCTAGGATATCCATTTGTTGCATCATTTTTGATATTATGACGATTAACAATATCTCCAATAACACGACGAAATGAATGTCGAGAAACAGGCATTATTTTTTACTTCGATAACTAAAAAAAATTCTTTGGTATTTTATCACTATTAATATATAAGAAAGAGGTACTTATTTAATCTCGAATAGATTCGAGTGATGCTGACAGAAATGTATAGAATTATAGTCAATGCTCATATAAGCAGGTCAATGACGTGAGTTAGTTCTAGCTCTAGAACAAAAAATAACATTGCTTCTCGCCAATACCGATCAATCATCATCATAGTCGTCGTCGGCTTTTCTTTCGTCGTATGCTGTATAGTAATAGTAGTAGTGCACACGACCGGTCGCTGAACGGAATCATTGTCTGGCATCTATCATTATCTAGAGAAGTTGATAGAGAGAAACAGAATGAAAAAGAAGGGAAAAAAGAATAGTGTAACATATTTTCCATCTGTTATGATGTGCGAGAAGCAATAAATAAAAGTGCATAGTATTGCTATTCAATCTATTAGATGAATAGAAAGATGATGCGATGACAGGTTTTTCTTGCCCAAAATAGGATATTCTCTTGTCTACCTATTAAGGATAATGTCAGATCTTATTCTTGATGGCATATTATTGATAGAATAATATTGACTGACAATCAAAAGTAACATGTCAATATGTGATCATCACAATATACGTTTTTTTTTGTTATTGAATTAAAAAAAAGAAGGAAGCGTGATATGTCATTAATTTGATTGATTTGAAAATTTTAGCCACGGATGACATAGATCTCTATGTTCGTGACAGAGAACATAATTCAATTATAGACAGATTCAATTAGATGAATATAGATTGCTTTGAACGGAAAACAGTTTGTCAGTTCTAAGAATCAAAATAAATTCACAATAATGCAATATATTAATATAAATTCATTAGAGCAACTATTGTTGTAATTATTATATGTAGCATAAATGTTTTATTAGCATTTTTTCGAATCCATCAATTTTATAGAACAGTAGATTCAAAAGATCCAAATCAAGAAAATTGATGTGTTTTCAGTAACCAAAATGTACTCATTTCTATCGCTGTCTTTGCATAATTATTCATAGCTGTCAATAAACTCATTTGTTTGACATAGTATTCATGAGAACATATTGAAATATAAATATATTTGTAAAATACCTATTATATTAATATGAGAATAAAGCGAAAAAAAAAATATATTAATAGTTTTATTTCAAAATCAATTGAAAATCTAAATAAACATCAACTTATAAATATTGAGAAGATAAATAAATAAAACTACTTCTCTTATTAGAAAAAAACAGTTCTTATCTTCCTCGACGAACTCGCGTACCTTGTTTTCTCTTTCGACTTTTTTTTTATTAGTCGTTTTTTGTCAAATGTATTCCTTCATACCTTCATTTCCACTACGAACAGACAAAAGAAAAACTTAACACACAATCACCAGATTACTTTTTTTTCTTTCTGTTCTAATTTTTTAAAAATATAGATATTCACTCATATACATAAATATACAAAAGGTAGAAAGAAATCGATCACAAAGATATTGGTGGGCCTGTATATTGAAGTGATTCTGTATAATATTCATCGTCCGATATTCTTTTTAAAATATAATTTCTTTCATTTTCATTAAAGTCTGTTGTCGATTGTGATGATGATGGTGTTGGTTCTGGTTTAGCAATATAACATGTGCAATCATTTTCATTTGAATATGGTGGACTAAGGATATCCAGAAAAGCACAATGATCATTATTAATTGCATATATTTCATGAATATTTAATTTATTTGGATATAGAACAGCTGTTTCCGATTGTGAATTAATTGATGTTGATATATGCTTACTACAAATACGTTCATTTTCATTTTTTTCAAATAGAACATTGTAGGCATTTAAATGACCATGACCATCAAGAACTTTAATTAAACCAAACATACGTGGATGATCATGTAATGGCATACGATGATGTGATTTTATAATAAATATTCCGACTGATATAATACTATCTTCATATAATTTTATGTAAAAAACAGGTGCATTGGAATTTAAAAATTTTTCTAAATTTTTTTGATCAATAGAATTTAATGATTGAGAATTTTTAATATTATCAAATAATGTAAAATTTAAATCATATTTTGTTATTCGATTCATTGAACGTCGAAGTGAATCAATACAATCATTTGAATCATAATTATGATCATTATTTGATAATATCATTGAAAATGTTTGTTTAGCTTGTTTTATTAATGTTAATATACGTGGTGAAGATGTTTGCATATCTGAAATAATCATCATGTGAGAAAGTTTAGGAGATCTTTATTTTGTTTTTATTAGAAAAAAGAAAAAAAAATGAACAGGACTAATCAGTATATACAGAACAAAAAAAATGTCTGAATCTTTCTTTTTTCTTGTTTAATGACGATGAGAACGATATTTTAATTCAATTTGTTCAAGTAAAAGATCAATTGGTAATGAACATGGTACACTAGAAAGTATTGATTGATGAAATAAATTTAATTTTCTTGCAAAATTTTCATCACTATCATTTATTAGATTTGGAATATTTGAACAAATCAAAGCATAATTAAGAATAGATAAAAGTCTTCGACTTATATCGATAAGACTGATTCTAAAAAAGGCAGAAAAAAAAACATTATTATTGATGAATATTGGATAAAGACAAAAAAAGATCGATTACTTTTTGAAATATTTATCAGCGATAACATCTGCTAATTGATCACATAATCGATGAACTTGAGAAAGAATATTTGTATGTATACGATTAGAAAGTGATGTCTACAAATAGAATTATTTATCATTTATCGATTTGAAATGTCTTCTATCAAGTTTATTATTAGGACTAAAAGTTCAATATATAGATCAAGTGATATATCATGTCCAGTATAAAGCAGAACATGAAAAAATGTAACTAGAAACGTGTGGAACCAACTTTACTCTCGATTCTGGTCGTCAGAATTCAGACTGGGATTACGAGAATAAATTTTATCTGAATCACAATCGTATATTACACTTAAATACTCTGTAGTTTTCAACGAATTCTCTTATAAATTCTATCAATCAGAACATTATTCGAGAAAATTGATACAAAAAAGTGTTAGTCGTTGAATAGCCATGACATTAGACAAATCGATATCCGCTGTTTGAACTCATATAACATTCTTAAGAAAGTCTTCATTAGACTAGAAAGATCCTAAAAGAGTTTGTGCCCATGAACCTATGGAGCCAATTTATGATTATTTTACTATATTTTAGTTCCAGAATTAGGTACTTACCGAAAAGTCAAATAATGGAATTTTAGTCTAAGATTTTGCCGATCGAGAGGCCTAATAACTATGGAAATATCCTGTAAGTATTAACAGAAAAGCATGTTTCTTTGTCTAGTTACTGAATTTCCAAGTAGACTCGATTTTTGTGGCATATACGTGACAAAAGACCATTTCCTAAAAGTTCAACATCTTGACAAAGGACCATTCTTTTCAGCTATAGCTGTCAGAATATTCCAAGAGATATCAGACCATCTATGGACGAAACCTTAGGTCAAAATTTTGTTATTTAATTTTTCGGTACATATCTAAAGCTCGATCGATAAGTCGGTAAAATGGTGATAAATTGGATCTAGTGGTCTATGTACGCAAACTGTTTTAGAATTTGAGAATAAAACTATTACCTATTATTTTTAGAAACTTTTGGAAAAGAAAGAATTAAAAGAATCCTCAAAATATTCATTTATAATAAATAATAGAAACTGTCAGCTGTGAATAATCTGTCTAGGAAACAAATGTCTACATGAAAATCAAATGAAAAAAAAAGAATGGTGCAGCTGTAGTTGAGAAAAATAGTTCATCATCAGTTTTATTGTAATATGCGAAGACTACACGTGTGCGAGTCAAGATCAACAAATTAAAAAAATATTTTGTTTAACATCAAAACCGTGAGACAAGATCCTAGACAGATCTAACAAACATGATTTTAATACTTCTTTTTTTATCATGATTTTCATTTGAGTTTTGAAATAATGATTTGATAATCATTCTACATGAAATCTATTATATTCTTCAACTTGTTTTATTCGATTGAAATTTCTGATCCAAGAATAATGATGTCTAATCATAGCTCACGAAGTATGATTTTAGAAGGAGAAATGACAGTGCTAATTTTAAAAAGATCGTTTGAATGGTTTATGCTAACTATAGTATCATGAGTCTTGATTTAAAATTCATTCATATATATTTCACATACTTGACCATGTCTTATTCTATCAAAAATAATCAGTAATTCAATATATTGTCTTGCAAAACCACCGCGTCTACTCCAATGTGCAATATTCGCTCGTTGATGATCTAATAAATCTAATACTTCTTTTGCAAATTCATAATCTCCTAAAACAGATTAAATGTGTATATAAATACTAACAAACAAAAACTAATAAAACCTTTTAAAAGTGTATCATGAAAAACATAATAACAATAAGTATCATGTGCTTTTCGCCATTGTTTTGCATCAATCCAGAGACGAACAGCATTCATCCATTGTTTATCATATTCAGCTCGTTGTGCTTTAGCTGATAAGATCATATTTATAGGAATATTATATTTATCCACGAGTGTTTGTTCTTCTTGTGTTAAATCGATATTTGATGTTACATGACGGTGAAGAAACTCATTAATCATTTTTTTTCGACTAGAAACAAAACAAAAGAATACAATTTTCTTTTTCTTCATAAACAACACATCAATTTATATACTTCGTTGATTCATTAATATGAAGTAATACAAATATTGCTAATTGCCAAAAACCAAGATTTTCAAGTTGTCGAGCAAAATTAACATGTAAACAAGCATCATTCTCAATTGATAATGGATAACTACCTAATGATTGGAGTGTTATATATAACATCCAACTAAAAATATAAAATAGTCTAAGAAAAGAAAAAACAAAACAATGAAGAACAGATTATTTTACCTTAGACGATAATCAAATGCATTTTGAGTATATGAATGAACATCAAATACGTTATCAATTGGATATGTATCATCAGTATAAAGTTTTAATAATTTCCAACGAAGATCAAGAGCTTTAGTATTTCCATAATGAGCTATTGGTTCAAGCCAATAATGATCTTGATATGCTGTTTCAAAATCACGAACAATAGTTGAAATTGAATCTGATGCAGAATTAGCAAACCTAAACAAAATAATACATAGTCATGGAGTTTTTCATTCTATTATCTATTTCAAAATATTGTATACTCCACTGTGTTTTGAATAAATTTTGATAGGAATATCCTAGAGACCTGCAGTTTTCATCATTGAAGTGATAAAATCTGGGATTATCCAAGTATATCGAAGTTTGCTTGATCAGCAATCGACCAATCAGATGTGTTCTACGTGAAGATTCTTGACAACGATATTTTGAAACTATTTCTCTTTTGATTTACGCAGCGACAACGTTCCTAACTTATTCTCTTCGAGAGTTATAAGATTTTTCTTGATACCATTAATTTCAGGAAATTAACCTATGATCATCTAGAAAAGCAGTTAGACACGTATAATTCATCGTGCTGAATCGAACGATGATACCCTTTTTTTAAGGTTAGAAATGATCTGACTCTATTATTTCAATATTTCCAAAATGTCGACTCCTTTCATTACATGAAGGCTGATTGTGGAATTCTAGAAATATTGAGATAAAAGAGTCAGATCATTGCGAAATTTAAAAAGCAAATATTATTATTGAACTCTGCATGATGAATTAAGCGTGTTTAATTGCTTTTTCGCGTGATCACAGATCAATTGTTTGCAATCAGTGATCTTAGGATAAGTCTTGTAGCTCTCGAAACGAAACAAGTTAGGAATGTTTGCCTTGCGTAGATCGAAAGAGAAATAGCTGTAGAATACTGTTTTCGAAAACTTCTAACAATAATTCACATGATTGATCCATTGCTGACCAATCAATTTACGATATAATTCGATCGCTCCTCGAGTCTTCTCTCTTAAATTATGAAAACTGTAAATCTCCATGATGCTTTTGTCAAATGTTATTCAAAAAACGGAGGAGCATATCATATTTTCAAATGGATCGTAATACAACAATTGACTTGATTGTTTTGTAAATAAAAGTAACTATTGATCAATTGTTTTTGATATTCGAAAACAGATGGTTCACTGTAGGGATTTTTAGAAGAAGTAATGATTATTTTCATAATGATGTGGTGAAATTTTTTATTTGTTATTAAAGTTTAAGTTCAAAAAGTCCATTTCATAGAAAAGAAGCTGTTAAAACAATTCCTGCGGGACTAAAATGTGAAACACGACAAAGCGGCTGTTGCTCGTCATAGGAAGATTGTTATATTCTATCTATCTTGGGACACATTGCTCCATCATCTTTTCACTTAATTCTTTAGAAATGCAATAAAGGAGTAGTTCGTTTTTATAATGAAACATTATTAATATAAGCTCTATCATCGTATAGCAACAACACGTCTGTCTATCACGATTTGTAGAGACTATAAATTTTTAGTTCTATGGCATTCAAACGATTTTTCTCGAAATATACCAAATAACTTTGCGGAATTCGGACCAGTCTTCAATGAATCGGCATGGAAGATTTTCGATCATACTTAGATTAATAATGATATGTATTTCCGTGTTGAAGCAACATGAAGGTATCAAGTCAATATTAGGAAAATGCTTTGTTTGACTGACAAGATCAGTTGACTGTTTTTAAAATTCTAGGGCTATAGTGTGGGATTCAACGTTGTACTATATCTATTTCCTTTCATTTTCTATTGGCTCATAATATAATCCAGTCCATTCCTTTTTTTTGTCAAATCGATATTAGTTACCAAAGATGTAGAGCTAATGCCATTTGCCAATAAATAGTTCGATTTTGATCTACTAAATTGTGGCCTTTCACAATAAATTCACCAGATAAAATTGCAATAGTTCTTTGAAAATCTTTTGTATAAACATCAACAATCTAAACGAAAAATCAAATAGACAACAAAAAGCCTATTGACAATATCTTACATCTTCATGTGCACAATGACGAAGAATATCACGAACACTATTACTACCCGATGCAGCATGAACAAGTGCTGCTAATCGAAGATCACCTTCGTCTCGTGCAAATTTTACACAATCATTAAAAAGACCACGAGATAATAATTCACAATTTGCCATTATCCATTGCTAGAAAATAATATAGAAATATAAATATTAATAATCTTATTAATTATTTAACATACTTGTTGTTGCGGTTGACTCAATATACATTGATGTAACCAATTAGATAGCATATGACGTCGTTTTTGCTCGTCAAAATAAGCTTGATTAATTATTTGAATATTTGTTGGTGTTTCAATAGGTCCCCATAATAAACGACATAATTCAAAAACTTGTAACGAATAATCAGCTAATGATTGGAATGAATTATTATCGTCCATATTTTCTATTCGGTCAAGAAAAAAAATTAATAAATCACATTATCATGTGGACTCAAAAATTTTTCGATGGGAAAATTATTCAAAACTTTTTTTGCAGAGGATTGACGCTTAATCAAAGAACAACTGTTGCGCAAAAGACAAGCGGTGTAAAAAGACCGAATCCAGTGGAAGTTTTCTATTTCATGAAAGAATCGCTTCGGGTGTCAAATCGCTTTTTGACCAAGACGACTTTCATGTTTTTGAGTGCTACTGAGTAATAGAAAACACTACCATGACTTTGTTTTCACGGTCTTCGTTCTTAAGATATTGAAATTATACTGCAGTTTTCATCAATAAGCTATGGTCTCCCTTAGATCTCGTGGAAAATCGATTTTCGCTTTCACACTTTGCATGAACCAAAGTCTTCAATGAAATCAGTTCATTGTGCAAGTTGTAAATTTTCTATTATTTCCTATCCTGAGATATCAAGTAGTCTAAATTCTGTCGTCTATAAAAGCTTTTTTTTTCTTCATATATTTACATCTCCAAAAAGGAGACACTAATTACATAATCAACTAATCTCATTAAAAATTTTGTTGATGTGCAGTTCGAAATTCGAAGGTCGATTTTTCACTTGAACTAAGAGAGATCGCAGCTTGATGTAGAAAACTCAGTAAAGTTTCAATATCTTGGAACCAAAAGTCCAGAAAATCAAATCATTCTAGACTGCTCTATTACACTTTAATACTCATCAAATGAACAACATCTCGATTGAACAGCGATCAGATACCTGGAGACGTTTCTTCGTCAATTCAGTTCGATTTGAGTGACTTTTGAAGATACGATGAAAGTTGATATCAATATTCATCAAATTGATTTTAAACTAAGACGTACTAGACCATCGGGAATAGGATAATTGATATTTTTTTGGAGATGAGGAGTGAAGAAGGGCTCGAAAATTCAGTAGAAATCCAAAATATTTTACTGAGAGTACTTTCATTCTTGGAGTGCTAGCAATGGTGACCGAAGACGAAAGAAGAACAAAACTCACCGTGATCTACAATAGACGAGCTTCCATTAGACCGTCCTTCTCCGATTCTATTCGCCTCACAACTACATTGTCTGCTTATTTTTATGTCACTTTCTTCCAAAGCAAGGTGGTGAATGGTGTTTCAAAACTCGGTTACTGTCTAAAGTTATCACGAAGCTGTGAAACATTCGCAAAAAATCAGAAGTATCATAGATCAAGATGAGGAAGTGGATTTTTTTCTTCTGTAGAACTAATGTTAAAGATATGGCTATCGATGTTCTTGACTCTCTCTACACATAATCGAGTGTAGTCTTTTGTGAAACACGATCTAAAAAAGACTGTTGAAGAATATGGTTGAAAATTTGGATCTTTCCCCTCAAGGATTGTGACAGACGTTATTGATATACAATTAGAGACCGTATAATAATAACGTCTAGTTCTAATATATGAACTACTTCCTTGTTGCATTTTTGAAGGATTAAGTTAAAGTATATTGAACCATGATTAGCAACAACAGCTACATTATGTTTCTCGTTTTAATTCCGCAGGAATTACGTTAATCATGGTTTTTTGTAAATAAATTCATTGTCGTTTTCATTCATCAATCTAGATTCGAAGTCTTGTAGTTATTATACCCACCGAAGTAGCTTCATTCAAAAACAAATTTATTAAAATAAAAAAGTCTCAATCCAAAATGATTATTAGTATATATATATATCTTGATTAAAAAATATGATGCCGTTTGTTTCGAACATGTCGCTATTTAAATGTTCTATTCATTGAGCTTACTTTCATCTAACACTTTCGTATAAAAGTCAATAAATCGTTGTACAACATCTGGATCTTGACGAACTTGAAAATAAGGCACATCTGAATTTCCTTCTATTTGTTGTACACATGATGAAAAATAAATTTCTAAAAAATTTTCTAATTCATCCATTGTTTGTTGATTAAAATTCATTGGTGTTTGGAGTAAAATACGTGTTTCATTTAAAGCTAAAAGAAAAACATGTCAAAAAAAATCTAATTCGCAAGATTGTCTATGGTTGTTTACTATCAATGGATCCATATTGCAGGTAATGTGAAAAATTTGTTCGAAAATATTTTCCCCGAATTTTTGCAATATTTTTTGGTAAATTCGAATAAACACGTTCACGCATAGGTTTTAGTGGAGCATTGAATGTTATTTGAGTTTTATCTTGTTCTACTGTAGTATGTTTTTCAATTAATGGTTCTACAAAAAATAACACTACAATATTTCTATTGAAATATAATAATTATTTTACCATGAGCGATTGGAATTGATCGACTATCGGAAGTAATAATTTTTGTTGATGTGATCATTTGATCTAAATGAAAGAAAAGAATAAGAAATGAAATGTTATATGATTTATTTATTGTTACCATTTGTTGGTTGAAAACCATCAAAATCATCTTCATCATCATCATCACAAAACATTGATTGTACTAATTGTTCAACATCATTTGGTCTTAAACCAATTAATGATTGATTTGTAAATCGAACATTTTGTTGTTGTCGTTGTTGTGGATGTGTAATTAATGATGTTGTATTTTCTTTTTCTTCCATATCCATTGGTTGAGATTTTGGTGATGATAATGCATATGTGTCATTTAATGCAATTGTTTGATCGAGAAAATTTGAATGAATTGGTTTTGTTATTTGTTGTTGTGGTTGTTTAACAACAACAACAAAATCATCTTCACTACCATCAAGACCATAGCGTGTAAAATGTTTTACCATAAATGTCCATGAACCATCAGTTACACCATAATTAATAAATTCTCCATCGAATTTTTTTGTTACTTCACGTAAATAATCATTATAATTCATAGCTCTAATACGTTCAATTTCAGTTATTTCTTTTCGTGTTGTTCGATCAATTGGATAAACACCATACAATGTTATACGAGCTGGAATATTTAATTCTTTACCAACAGGTGGTTTATTATTATCATCAGGATAAACTGTTACTTCATGACGATCAATTTCAACTAAAGGAAAAAAAAATTTATACAATTTAAATTATAAACTATATTTGTTTTTTTACTGATTCGATCAAGATCAAGACCGGCAACATTCACTTGACCATAGAATGTAACTGAACCATATTTTTCATGTCCAACTGTAAATTGTTTTACAATACATTGACCTTGATCATCAAATAATGATTTTAATTCTGACATGGACGGTCTCATATAATAATATTCACGTGTTAATTTTGGTAAATGATAAGCATTAGAAATAGAATTTGATTTTGTTATGTTTGTATAATCATAATCATGTGAAGGTTTCGTTCGTTGAATTGAACTAGTTGAGGTCGATGATGGAGGTGGTGTTGTTGATGGTGGAGGTGGAGATGTTGGCGATTGAACAAGTGTTGTTGATGGATGAGACATTGGAGGTGATGGTTGTTTATGAACAATAAGTGGAGTTGAATGATGAAGAGGTAACATTCCACGATTGACATCTAAAAACAATAAATACAAAAATTGTTCAATGTTTTTCAATACAAAGGATCTCGCTAGAGTCGGTGACCTATCCCGAGTCAGGACGTCATATATATAAATATATGGTTAGGTAGAGCAAATGAAGGTACATAGAATGATATATAAGAAATCAGGTTTTATCAAAGTTTTTAAGTGTTTAGGATCAATAAACCGATTATAATGTTCTCAGGATATTATACAATATTCATTCCCTTTTTGGTCTCTGAGATGTCCTAGCATGAACTGACATGAGTTTGATATTTAAAACCTATTTGATACAGTTATAGGTACTTTTCAAATTTCTATGATCAAGAGTTTTTATCGTTGCTTTTTTTCATACTTGAAAATGGTTTCTTTTCTTAGGTCAAGATTATTTCTTGACTACGTGATATTCCAATGTATTCCACTCTGTACCGCAGAGCCAGTGAGTACCAACGAAAAACTTTTAAAAAGTACACACTATCAATCTGTATCTGTTTTATACATAACATCTTTGGGAAAAGAAGGAACTCATTGTTAACCTTCAAGATTGTTCTCTACAATAGCCTATTTTCCTATATGAAGGGGCTGACATGTTGAGGATATTTTATTTATAATCAACGGCTTTACTAAAAAATCTTGTGTGCTAATAAGCAGCACAGCATTCCTAATAAATTGATATAAATAACGCCTTCATAAGCGGGAAAATATTTTTTTGACTTCCAGATTGCTAGAGCTAAGTGCGGCTATAGAGTTGCAGAAAGAATGTCTGTTATTTTTATTGTTGCTTGTTTTAAATTCATATACCAAGTATCTAGGTTTGACTTGTACATGAAACTCTATAAGAATCTATTAGTCTAAAACATATAAAGTTCGATAGTGTGCAAATTTCGAGAAAGTTTCACGTCGATACTTACTTTTCAGTGATACAGAACTAAACACACTGAAATATGATTAAGTCAAGAAATAACCTAGATCTTGAACAGGGAATCATTTTTAAATACAAAGACAGAAGTGATAAAAACTATTGATCGTAAAAAAATTAAAGAACATCTATAACTGTATCGAATTCAGTTTAAAAACAAAATTTTCCTAAGTTTATCTTAGATACCAAAATGTCGATGAGGACCTTATCATATTTCATAAGCGTGGTAATCAATGTATTAACTTATACCACATCAAAATGTTCGTAAAACGTGATCTCTTATATGTTATTCGAAGCGCTGCAACTGGCTCTACAAAAGCGATATATATGGTTTCCTGGCTCATTGATAGGTCACCATATATGGTGGCATTCTTTCCATTTAAAATAAACATACTTGTTGGATTTAAAGTTTGTTCATTATTAACAGTTGTTGATGAGACATGAGCTGAAGCAGTATCAATTGTTGTTGTAGATGATGTTGATGATGGTATTGTATGAACAGTTGAAAGAATATTTGTATTATTATTCATATTAGCTAATGTTTCAAGTTCAGCAAGACGTCTTAATGGATAAAGTGAACGAATAGATTCGGATTGAAATGATGAATCAATAAAGTCATTTGATAAACGTAATTTTGACATTTTATTTCTTCCAATTAAAACAAGTTCTTCTTCTTCACTAAAATCTGCTGTTAATGGACTTTTAATTTGCCCTGTTGTTGGTGTTATTGGTTGATTAGGTGATTTGATTTCGTCATTTATTATATTTGGTGATGATGATGAAGAAACAGGTTTTAATTTAAAACGAATATCAACTAACGGACGAGCTGAAGATGTTTTACGTGAATTTGATTGTAAAGATAATGTTATTGGTGATGCTGTAGATGTTGTAATTGTTGTCGGTGTTGTTGATGAAGTTGATACAACAATTAAATCAGTTGGTGGTTTTATTTGATCAATATTATTGAAATCTTTTTTTCCACGACTAGCAAATGGATCAAGAAGTGATGCAGCAAGAAATCTTTGTTGAACTAATGATACGGATTGTTGACTTTGTATTTGAGTAATATTGGTTGGTGCAGCGAAACCTGTTGTTGCTGTTGTTGTTGTTGATGATGATCCAAATGGTGTAGAAAAACCAAATGATGGAGTTGCTGTTGATGCTGTTGGTTGAGATTGAGAAAAATTAAAACCAGTAAATGGTTGAGGATTAAAAATTGATGAAGTTGTTGTTGCTGGTGCCGTTGAACCAAATAAAGTCGGTGCAGTGCTTGTTCCTGTTGATGGAAATGAAAATGGTGCTGAAGCTGGAGCAGCTGTTGTCGTACTAAAACCACCAAAAACTGGAGCTGTACTAGCTGTTGATGTAGCTGGATTACCAAAGATACTTGTTGTCGCTGCTGGTGCACTAGAACCGAAGCCTGTAAATGCTGGTGAACTTGTTGTGGCACCAAATACAGGTGCAGCTGCACTTGTTGTTGTACCAAATATATTTGTTGTAGCTGATTGAGTACCAAACGGATTTGTAATTGTCGGATTTGCCGTTGTTGTAGAAGTTGGAACACCAAATATACTTGTTGTAGTAGTTGGACCCGTCGTACCAAAAGGTGTGGATGTTGTTGGGTGCGAAAATATACTTGTACTTGGAGTTGGTTGAGATCCAAAAGAAAATGGTGTTGATGTACTTGATGTTGTTCCGAAGCCTTAAAAGTTTAATTCATTTATTTTTTTTTTCTTAGAATATAAATTTGAACTTTTACCGAATGTAGGTTGAGTTGTAGCTGGCTTAGCACCAAATGGACTTGCTGTTGTTGTTGAACCAAAAATACTTGTTGACGGTTGTGCTGTACCAAAAAGTGAACTTGTTGCTGGTGTTGTTGATGTTGCCGTACCGAATGGACTAGCTGTTGTAGCTGCTGACGTTCCAAACATACTTGTTGTTGGTGCTGTACTTGTACCAAAAGTAAATGAAGGTGCTGATGTTGCCGTTGCAGCTAAATAAAATAAACCGATTAAATTAAAAAAAACTTTTTGTACTACGAAAGATTAATTATACCGAATGGACTTGCTGTTGTAGTTGTTGTACTACCGAAAATATTCGGTGCCGTCGATGGAGCAGAATATGTTGCTAGAACAAAAGAAACAAATGTTCATAATTATATTTTAAAAGAAAGAGATTTCAATTACTGCTAGCACCAAAAGGTGCTGGACTAAATGGTGTTGCTGATGAAAACGTTGTTGAACCAAATAATGAAGGTGTTGCTGAAAATTTTCGATTTGACTGATAATCTTCCATACGTAATTCTTCCAATGATTTATTTGTATATTCCTTCATTGCACATATACATTGAAGTTTAGTATTTATTGTTTGAAATGTATTATTTTTTGTACGCATTGTATCTAAACATACAAAAACAACAAAATATCTTGTATTGCATTTTAAAAAATATGAATTCATTTACCTTGCCCAGATACAGCTTCAAATTTAACTGTTGTACCCACTTGAGTTGTACCTGCTACGGTTGAACCAAATATACTAGTTGTTGGTGCAGGTTGTGCAGCACCAAATGTTGTTGCTGATGGACCAAATATTGATGTTGTTGGAGCTGCTTGTTGACTAGTACCAAATAAAGATGTTCCACCAAAACCTAAAAAGAAATTTAAATTATGATGTTTATTAATATTATTTTTTGTTTTATCTTTACCTGTTGTGCCAGTAGCTGGCGTAGTAGAAGCTGGTGTAGTACCAAATGTAGTTGTACTACCAAATGGACGAATAGTTGATGTATTTTGTAATCCAGTACCAAATGTAAGTGGTTGTGATGCAGCTGGCGTTGCTGTTGATGCAGTTCCAGTTGGAGTACCAAATGTAAATGTTGAATTTAATGAAGGAGCAGCTGTATTAGTTGCTGGTGTAGGTGTAGAACCAAACAAAAATCCAGTTGTTGCCGGAGCCGCAGTGGTAGTGGTTGATGTTGCACCAAAAGCTGTAAAAAAAAATAAACAAAAGAAAATAAATGAAATATCATATAACTCTGATTACATACGATTTGAAGGTGCCGTACTACCACCAAATGAAAATTGACTGGTACCTCCGAACATTTCAAAATTTCTGAAATTTCAATTGATCATACAAATGACGAAGAAGTATTTATCGTCTGATAATTTCAATACTTTTTTTCATTCGTGTCTAACAGGATAACTTTAAAACGAATGAAATTAGTTTATAGATGTCGTTCATTATTTTTTTTTGAAAATCAAAATCAAAATTATTTTAAATAAAAAAAAGAAATTGTTATATTTTGGAAATTTAACTTTTTAATAATATATATCTATCTATAGATTGAACCAATTGGCGTATTGCTGACGATGCAACTAACGAATTATGAGAAAGAACAACTGTTGGCTGGCAGTTTATTTGCTTTTCACTTTTAAATAAATAGAATTTACTATAATCAAGGTTACGAAAAATCTAATGGAAGAACCAACAAAAGCTGATATTGATGCTATTTTTAAACGATTAAGAACACTTCCGGCAAATAAGGTTTGTCTATGATTTGTTTAATTATTATTTATATTTTGTACATTTTGATAGGTGTGTTTTGATTGTGATGCTAAAAATCCAACATGGGCATCAGTAACTTATGGTGTATTCTTATGTATTGATTGTTCAGCAAGACATCGTGGTCTTGGTGTTCATTTATCATTTATACGTTCGACTAATCTTGATACAAGTTGGGGATGGCTTCAACTTCGGTATATATTATTGGAATTTTTTAATTTTTTTAATTTCGTATTTTTTTTTATACAGAGCCATGCAAGTTGGTGGCAATGCTAATGCCGTAAATATTTTCTCTTTTATAATCTTATGAGATAAGTTTTTTTTTTTAATTTTCTATGATCAGGATGCATTTTTTCAACAACATGGTTGTAATACAAAAGATACTCAACAAAAATATAATAGTCGTGCTGCACAACTTTATCGTGAAAAACTTCATCAATTGGCAACAAAAGCAATGCAACAATATGGAACGAAGGTAGGAAAGTCAATTCATTGAATTTTCATCATTGTTCAGAGGAAGAATTTTTTCTAAAAATTATTTTTTTCTTTTGTTGGATGATTCATAAAAAACATCATAGAGTAATTGTTATTCTGATTTTTGTAATTTTTGAATCATTTAGTTTTTGTTATATTATCTTAAGAATGCTAGTTCAAACATAATTATGAATTCTCGTTGTCAAGTAGACAATTTTTAATCTATTTAATAATTCAACGAAGTAAGGTTATCAAGTGTAACTTACCGTTCGAATTGATTTTCTACCCGTCAGTATGCTTCGATAAGACTAGTAGAAACTTATACAAGAGTTTCGTCTTCATATGCTGTCCTCTTCAATTTATTACAATTTCACTGAAACTTTATTTCCAATCTCTGGTAAGATATTTGTGAAAAAAATTGAATTCCGAAATTTCAACCTAGAAATTAAATATCTTAAAGTAAACATGTATTATAATGAAAGGTAAGGAAGAATACTATTTTCAAGATTTGGTATTTCAAGAACGACAGATCTTTTTAGACTAAAATGTTTAGAGCAATCTAAAACCCATGGAACCTACTCATAGGCAAAATATTAGGTCGAAAAATTTTGGAATTCAATTTTTTTCATAAATACAGCGCAAAGAATAGAAAATTAAGTAAAACTATAATATCTTGCATAGGAACGAACTCTTATAGGCATCTACACTAATCTCAATCGAGGTCCAATTATAGGGAACATATCAATTCGATTGATGAGTTATATTGGAATCTTCTCTCATCAGATCAGTTAAATGAGACGGAATAAGTTTTTTTTTTTATGACGGCTTTTGCATTCTCATTACCATGTTCATTGAGACTAATGATTTAAAAGAAACATTGTCTTGAATTATGCATTATCTCGATTACACTGATATTAGAGTTTTATTTCTATAAGAATCACTTTCTTTTTGTTTTGCTGCTTGTGTTATGAATTCGGTCAAGTAAAAATCGAGTTTACCTGAGTCCAAGAGCAAAATGTAAACGTTCAATAGTTCATTCCTTTTTCATTTAGACAGTTTCCGAGATAATTACTTCGAAATGAAAGGTCAGATTGCAGAAAACTAATGAAAATCATTTTAATTTGCTTAATCGAGCGATGAATATTTAATGATTTTGATTGTATTTGATTTAGCTTTTTCTTGAAGAAGGCCATAAAGGTGAACGTAGTCATTCAATAAGTGAAAAAAAAGAAGGTGATTTTTTTCATGAACATTCTCAAGCATCAAATCAACCGGTTTGGGAAGATAATATCACATCTTTATCATTATTTGGCAATCAAAGTTCTGATAAAAGTAATTTGTTTTTAAACTCTTTATTCTTTCTATATTTCTATATTCTAATTTTCTTAGTTGAACAACAAACAGAAGGACCATCAGTTGATCCAAATGCATTGAACAGTGATGGTTCAACAAAAGTACATGATCCAAAAAAATCAACTATTGGTCAACGTCGTGCACCACAACCTAAAAAGGTTTATATTAATTGTTTATTTCTTTGTTTTTTTTTATTTGAATGATTAATTTTGAAATATTTAGAAAGGATTTGGTGCACAAAAAGTAACAACTGATTTTAAAGAAATTGAACGTAGTGTACAGGAACAAGAAAAATTACGTGAGCAACAGGTTCATCTTGAAATTAAAAACCGTGAAGAAACAGAAAAACAAATTGAAAAACAAATGTATGTACAAATCAGATAATGTTCTTTTTTCTATTTTCTTCATAAAAATAATAATCGATTACCTTTTTTTTTTTTTTTTTTTTTTTTTGTAGGGCAGGTCTTAAATTTGCTTATCAAGATTTAAGTAAACAACGTGGAATAGAAGAAGCAAAATTAAAACAATCTAATCCACAAAAAGCCGAACAAATGGAACGTCTTGGTATGGGTTTTGGTAATCGAAGGTAAGATTTGTTTTTTTTATTTTAATTAAAAATATAACGAACACTTTTTTAATCGTGTTTGTTTTTGTTCTAGTGGTGTTAGTCATAGTGCTATGACCGATATGCAAACAATACAACAAGAAGGTGTCACAACAACACGAAATGTTTCACTAGCAACAAAAAATCGAGATTTCTTTGATGATTATAATACATCTGGCTTTAGTAGTCGATCAAAGTATGAATATTTCAAATCATATTTCCATCGAAAAAAATTGTTATTTAAATTTTTCTCTAATTATGATAGATTATCAATGGAAGATTTTGATCAATATATTGAGACTTCTAGAGAGTACTAAAGTTTCATTATATTAAATATGCATGCGCTTTTTTCTAACATTTTCTTTTATCGATAATCTCAGAATGAATTAAGTGATACACTTATTTAGATGTTCTTATAACTTAAAAAGAATTCGACAGTAAAGAAAACCAAAGAAAGAGTCACTATGCGCAATTCGCCATAATTGGAGAAACTAAAATTACCAAGAGAAATGTTATTAATATTATAGAGAAATCATTCAAAGAAGTTAAGAAAATAACTAACAATCTATTCAAGGACAAAAAACACTAGATATGAATATAAATCAGAGAAAAACCATGATATCGTGTCAGAATCGTCTGAGTGAGTAATGATTACTTAGAAATTCACTATAATCGATGCACTTTCTCTCTATTTTGGTGATTTCGCGATTTCAAAATGAATATTGTTTTAGTTTTGTTTTATCACATAACGAATAATATAAAAGGTGAATATTAACATTCACTACTTATTCATTCCATGGGGTATATCTTCATTTTTCATATGTTGCCCTCATTCTGCGTGTGCAGTGTACGATTAAATCACATGTATAGATTGAGATTTGTGGAACGTGAAACAGAATTCAACTTTTATTGAACATGCGACCGATTCTATATGTGACTAATTGTCTCTTTTCCTGAAAATAACAATTGTATTACCTAAGAGAGAATAATAGTTTTCATTCGTTTCGAAACATTGTACTTAGAAAAAAAAGTTGCAAGTTCTTTTTTTTTTAATCGTAATGAATCCTTTGGTAATTGTGAGTAGCATTGATATATTTCCATAAAATTCAAGATCTTGTCTGCTATTCAGTAAGTTGAGAAGAGTAAAGGCAGTTATGTTTTTATCATAGGAAGACACAATAAATTTATCGCTTTAAGGATATATATGATTTTTCGATAAACGGTCGAATTTTAATTGAATGTCGGAAAGAAATTTCGACCCGGCCACAGCTGTTTTTCAAGACATTTTTGCAATTTACTTAGTTTTGGGACGACTATCTTTATATCTTCATCAACATTGAATATTCCTCTTACTCAGTTCAAGATACAATCAATATTGTTTTTTTTTCAAAGATTTAAATAAGAGTAAACTTTTATTCGATTAGTTTTTTCATATTTGATATGTGTTGAGAAAAGCGAGATTTAATGTTGTGAAGTCAAATGTTTCTTTTTGCTTGTTTTAACATCATATGTATTAAAATGATCATAAAACACGAATAGACATGAATTCTAAAATTCTATTTGGAGAAAAACTTCACTCACATATTGGTTTCAAATTGAAATCAGGTTGAGCTCTGTGTCTCTTGTGAAGACGAATTTCTCAGTATTCTACTGAAAGTTACATATGAAGCATAAATAAGCTGAAAGTACGCTCTACTGTGACATATTGAACAGATTTTTTTTACTAGAAGCATTTCTCACTAGGGACACTGATTTCTCGAAATGGATCGTTCTAAATGGAAAATCTATTATGAGGGAAAATTAATCATAATAGTTTTTAAAACGCTATGACATATCAGAAAATCGAAAACTCATTGATATCAAGTCTTTCGTAGTTTTGTCTTCATCTTAATAAGTTTTACTTGGTGAATGGTTACGAAATTGAAACAACTATACTAATCTAAATTAAAGATAATAATAACTATAAGATCGATGTTTTATTTTTATAAAAATCTTGTCATTTTATTTTTTTCATTTAGACTGGATGATGATCTATTCAAACCGAAAACTTCATCAAAGAATACAGATACATTTAGTTCTGAATGGGAAGTTATTGATCGTAAAACTCCAACGAAAGATTTTGGCTCAAATGAAACCAATAACTCATTTTCTTCAAATTATGGTAGTTCGACTGCTAATAGTGGTGGTTATAGGTAACAAAAAGATTTTAATCAAAAACTGAATATTATTATTTTCATTTCAATTAGTTCAACATCAAAAACACCAACATCTTATGCTAGTGGAACGAATGATGGTGATGCTCAAAAACGTTTTTCCAATGCTAAAGCAATATCAAGTGATCAATTTTTTAATAAAGATTCCGATGTATGTAAAAAAAAAAAAACACATAATTTTGTATGTAAATAAATCAATATTTCATTTCTAGAATGATCGTAATAATGTAACATCACGTTTCCAAACTAGTACAAGTATTTCAAGTGAAGAATATTTTGCTGATCCAAATAAAAAGCCTCAAGATCGTTCAAATTATCATGGCCCCGATTTAGCAACTATGAAAGCAGATTTTAAAGACGGTGTTTCCAAAGCAGCTGGCCGATTATCATCATTAGCTAATACTGTTATGTCTAGCATACAGGTAAGAAAATGAATAATATATATATATATATATTTCTTTTAATAATAATAAAATATCAAATGTCCATATTTTTTTATAGAAAAAATAAAACTTTGAAAAGAAAAACTGGGTAAAAAGAACATATATTCTATATTAACCGGTTTATGGTTTGAGTTTATTATTTTGGTTATGGGTTTTACCATGATATATAAATTTGGAATAAATAACAAAAAAGTCTAAATGTGTTGTTTCTATTTTCTAGGATCGTTATTGAGATTGTTTGACAAGAATTATATGGCATTGTTATCATCTCCATTTGGTGTTTTTTCTTCTTTTTGATGTCATCCTTTTATTTCGTGTTTAATGTACAGAAAAACACTTTATAACTACAAGATCTTTTAATGTCATACTTTTATCATCATAGTTTTTTTTTTCTCTGGTTGTTTGTTATTTCTTTTGTGCTTGTTCTTCTGTTAATTTATTTTAAAAAAACATATTTGTCCTTCATATTTAAATACACATTAATATAAATACACCAAAAGAAAAACTTTGATATCGTTTAAATTATCAATTACAATCTATCGATGTGAAAACAAGGAGAAAATCCATGAATGTCTGAGATGCTATGAATTTTTTCAAATTTAGAGTAAAGAACAAAAGCGACTTTTGTAAGATAGTAAAAAAATTTGATTTATTATTGTTCTAGAATATTCGTCACCTCTTATAGTTCCTATATAACATCAGAAAAATATGTGTAAGAAAACATTTTGAATTTTGGATATCAATAAAAAGAATATTTAGAACTAATTGTAACTCTTAAATTGGAATGGAGACAGTGCACAAAATAAACTATTCAGAAATTTTATATTATTTTAAAATCATCAAGTTGATCATTCAGTTTTCTACATGTAATATTAAAGTTTCGAGAGAGAATATTTAAAAAAAAATTATTAAGCAATATGAAGTTATCATTAAATATTTGAAAGTATATGGACGTAATTCAAATTATGACAAGAAAAAGTAAAATAGAATATAAGCAATATTGAATGGCTTTCGAGGTACACATTGAAAGTTGTTTTTTTTTTGTTTCTAATAGAAAAATGATCTCTTATAAAAAAAGATGAAATAATAACAAAAGGATTGTCTTTACTTTTTTGGGAACTCTTCAAGGTGACTTGATTGATTCGCTTTCACATGCACAGTACCCTAAGCGCAATGAGAAAATATTTCTTCATGAATCAATATTTGCCTTTCTTTGGCACCAAAAAAAAACAACAAAAAATCACTCGATTTCAGAAGCATTCATCACAATAACAAGAGTATATATAAGAATAAAAATGACTATGACATTAACAAAACGCAGCATCACGATAGCATTTGCACGTAGCTTACCAACAAGCGCAAACATCATTCAAATTTGTCCTATTCACCTGCTGTGTATATTCTATACATCAAAAGTATGAAATATACGATTACACGAACATTTTCATTAAAAAATGAAAAATTTGAAATTGCTTGTGATATAAAACCACTTTGTACAGTCAAAGCTTCTCCATCCAAAGAATATAAAGATAGATACAAGTATATATATACATACATATATATTTTTGTCTGTTTCTTTGCATAAAATCTTGTTTTACATAGTGTTAAGTTTTCAAATGCAATCAACGGATTTACTGGTGAAAAGATTTGCATTGTTGAACCAGATCCAAGTCAACCACAAAGTTATTTAATTTTTTTAAATAATGATGAAACAAATGAAACAAGTCTTTTCGGTCAATTATCTTATCAACTTTGTAGTTATGATAATTACTTTTATACGATTGTTATTGGTCAAAAATTATATCAAGTACGAAGTCGTGATTTAAAAGATCGCCGTTTAACTATTGTTGATAGACTTCAATCGAATGATTCCTCTTTTATTTATTGTCCAGAAACTTTATTCCAAGTTCTTGATTCATTTTCAAAATCAAATAAAAAATATCATGTTATTATTAAAGACAAAAAATGTCAATATGGTTATCTTGCTATTATTATATTACTTTATTTACATGAATGTAAACAGAATATTTCTTGAGAAAAGAAAATCAAAAATCAAAACTAACTTCATTATTTTTTTTTTGCTTAAATAAAAATAAAATAAAAATAGTATTGTACGTTTATAAAATAAACTGTTCTATGGATAACTTGGTATGATATTACGGAAACAACTAAAGTATTGAAAAAGAATTATTTAATGTTTTCATTGTTTCCCGATACATACTTGTTTGATGATTAACTTAATTATTGTATGCAGTCATATTTAATTCAATCATTGCCTTAAGATCTTCTACAAAGTATTTTTTTTCTTCAATATTATTCTTTGTCAACTTCTCATAAATCGTGAAAATATATTCTAGTATCCGAAGATATCCCATAATTTTGTGATTTTTCAGCAAATGAAACAATTTTAATCAATTTTGAAAAGTTGTCAAACATCTTCATTGGGTGCAAAATTTAGTGACATTGACGACCAATCAATTCTGTAAACCTAATTATTGAGTTTTCGATTGGTTGCTAGTTTTGACGTGTGCTCAGAATCGTTGTCTTATTCCAATCTTCAGTAAGCTGTATCGGGTTTAAATTGTTTTGTAACTGTTGACAAGAGATCACACTTATTAATGCGATAGATCAATTTCGTATCGAGATTCTCTCTGAAGTAGACGATGCGATCGAAGTGTCGACCTGAGAAGCAAGACTACAATTTGGTTTTGGTAGAATTCTTGACGCTTCTTACTACTTTATTTTTTTTGGCGTTCTTCAAATAAGTTCTTAAAAAATACTGAGATGGTTGACAGTCTCACCACAAAATATCATTAACAATTATATCAGCTGTTATGGAATACCCTTTGTTTTGCTTCTGCTTCGTTCAAGTCCCGATGTGCTGTTCTCTTGTTGACTACAACTCATTTTTGCTTCAGTTTGTTTGCAGTGTCCTGACTAGTAACTATTGGTTGATCTTGTTTTGAAGTTGTTGCACGTGGCCGACTAAATGAAGTTGAATTGCTCAAATTTTTTGACTGTGTCCATCAATTGAACCGATATTTCACTGTCCGTGAGCTACATTTGATTGCTTTTGTCATAGTCTTATGCACGAACCTGGAACTTAAGGCACGGTCGGAACGAAAGACAGTATTCTATCACCGGTATATAGATAAAGCCATATTTCAGGTGTTACGATCGCAAACAACATAGACGAAATGGATGATGAGTCTGATCAAGGGATGACTAGTGCTGTCTATTGATATTAGTCTTACAGAATGTTCCAGAGAGAAGAAGACTTTTATCCACTATTGTCTGTTCATATTCTGTCTATGCTTATAAATCGATAAAAAAGTTGCATATTCAAAAAAATCTGACTTTATATCTTGCAAAGACTACCTTCTCGTTCCATATATGCGGCTTTTATAGTAGAGAGTAAAGTAAACACTTATTTGATAAATACCTAATACCAGCATGAGCCTATAAAAAACCTGGGAAAATTTATTAAATGCTTTTGAGCAAAGAAAAATTTTCATTTATTTTAGCAGACAACGTGGCATTTCATTGTTGAAAACTCATTTCTCCAACTGTTTTTTTGTAATCGCGAATCACAGTTGGCAATAACACCGACCAATGTATCAATGATTCAGTTTTGAAAAAGCTTCATGATGAATCTGATGTATATCTAATAACAAAGAATTAAAAAACTAGTAATATAAATTAAGTCATTGAGGATGATGATTATTTTTATTTTGTTGTTCTAACTTTTTATGCGTCACATTTATCATATAAAACGTTTTCAGGGAAAGCACAATTTGTTCCTTGTCAAATAGATGCAAATTTATATTATTTAGATAAATGAAGACATAAATTAGTAAAAGGAATGAATACCAAGGCATCCATAGCAGATTTTCGATAGGAGAAATACAAATTTATCTGTTTTTCTAGACACCTTCATTAAGTGATTACAGATAAAGAAAATTTATTTTTCTAATTTGTATGACAAATAGATGTGGTAAAAAAGCAGAGAATAAAATGTTGTTTGATGGTTTGCGATCAAAATCTATGTTGTGGAGAGTAAATATTTTCCTTTTTGAGGATTAATTGATGTATGCAAATATTCTGAAAAGAATTTACTGCTTAAAACAAACAAGGGCACACAAAAATAAGTTTTACAATATGTTTTTCTTATGTATATCATTTCTTTTGTTAATAAATTTGAATACCATTAGTAATTTAATTCGACGTATTTGCAACAAAATGTGTCATGCGGTAGATGAAGATAAAAATTAACGTCATTGCATATTGTTATCAGAACATCAGCATATATATAAAAGATAGGCAACATTTTACATCTGCATCGTCATGAAACTCTTTATCAGTTTTCTCATTATTAATTTCTTCATTATTGATGGTATACAAAACGTACCTGTCATACATCCAATCCATGTTCAAACAGCTCTTTTACGTCCAATACCTCTTCGATTTACATCTGGTTATGTGACAACTCGAAAGCCCATTACATCACCTGTCATTAGTATTCGTCCTACAAAACATTCCTGGTGGCATCAGCGTAGTTCTACTCAATTAACCAATCTGATTCCATCTTTAGCACCATTTACAATTCATTATTATTCATCATGGTGGTATAGGACAAGTCCCGCAGTTAGAATTATTCTTTATATTTTGCTTGGGGGAGGTTTGATTTCTCTTACATGTAAAGTTCTCGACTATTGTTGCACATCATCGAAACAACGAAAACCAAGCAAGAACAATGAACCTCTTGTCACAGAGAATAAAATGTATGTTTCTACAATTAATGGTCAACGTGAAGAAGCACCACCATCATATGTAGAAACTCATAATGTTTGAATACTTCAAATAAAAATACAAATGGTGATCATTCTTCTATATTCTGTAATTCTTCATTTTTTTTTCAATAATAAAATGATCAAACTATTCAATGCCTTTATCAACTCAAAGTTCTACTGTATAATAAAAAATAAAGTTCAAAAGTACTTTAAAAAATAAAATAGATCACAACATTGTATCGTTGATGCATGCAAAAAAAGTTTTATAATTAGTTCATGGATTTTTTTAAATAAGTCATATCGAGAGAGATACAAGAATGATCTTAGATGTCAATGCATGTTGCTTTACGTAGTGATGTATTTAGTATGGTTGCAACGTGGATGTCATCTCATGACACATTGAACTCAAAAGTAATGCTTCATGAAAGAAACTTTCACTATTTTACAGAGTTTCCAGAAGCTCTCAAAACTAGTCTTGTGTGTCCTTCTTGTAATAGTACTTCTCCGTTTATTAGTATTTTTTGTCGGTATCACTTTTTCTTCCGGTGTTTTATTTAGTCGATGAACCTTTCTAACCCAATCAATTTGTGTAACTAACATAGCGTTTCTTTCAGATCGCCAGGATCAGAGGACAGTACAAAGGTTTTTCAAAAAAGAAATGATTTTAGACTAATAAAAAAGTGTTGAATTCATTGAATTCTCATCTCTATCAATATCAGCAAGAGAATATATATACGAGAGTAGTCTGTTTTTGTTTGTACATAGGATTCTTTGTGTTGCTCTATTCGTCCCTTTTTGCTTTGACAAATAAAAACAGAAATTGCATGCTTATATATCAATTTATATTTTAATAAATGACATTTTCCTATTGATATATAATTTTGATTTTCTCGTGGACAGAACATTCGTTAATAATAACGAACGTTTCCTTAATGTATTTAATTATATATTTGGAATATAGTGAATAGATTAACATAAATATTAGGTAAGATTCTTTGTTGTCGTTGTGAAATATAATTTTTGTTAAGTTGAGTTTTGATCCATTAAGGACTTTCAAAATATTCTAGTCGAAACGAGCAACAATATGTTGTTGATCGATGTATAGAATAATTCATTTCAAGATAACATTTTTATGGTTAAAAATTAGTGTTTGAAATAGAGCTTTTTTTAGACAGTTATCAACAGTAACACCAATGAATATATATGACAAACGTTCATTTAGTTAGTATAATTCAATAAGGAGGAGGTAAGCAAATTTTTGATTAGACAATTTTTATCATTTTTTTTTCGAGCACAAAATTACACTGGATTTTATCAATCACATTCTCACAGACATCAAATTATTATCGATCGTGTATAGGTGTGGGTGGTTTGGTGTGGATCACTTTTTGACTGCACACCCATCCGGAGAGTATGATGTGAAAGAAAGGTTTCAGCGTTTTTGGGATGAAGATTTTTGGTGTTTTGCAAGAAACTGATAGGATAGATAAGCAAAATTCTTTCAGTTCTCTTTGTTGACTTCGGTATAACGTGAATGATAATGTTTTGGCTCGTTGAATGTTGATAAGACTCAAGATGAATGACAAAATTAAGTCGACGTTGGAGCTGCTTCCTAATGAATTACTGTTGGACATTTTCAAGCATTTCACAGCTCGAGAGCTTTATCACACATTCTATGGTCTCAATCATCGATTCAGATTGATTGTCGATAATATATTTGATCTTCATTTAACAATAACAGATAATGAATGTCATGAACCTATCTGGTTGGCATTTCATCGCGTCGTCAAACTCAGTATAGATTGTGTGAATCAGATCGATCTTCGTCACTTTTCTGCAGTTCGATCACTGAAATGGATTCATCCCTCCGATGTTCAATTGCAACGAATTTGTTCATCTCCTTATTTTCCCTATCTTGAACATTTGAGTGTTTATTATATGCGTGATACGCCATCGACTGCTCACTTTCATCAATTCATCTTTTCTAATGGATTTCCACTTGTTCACAAATGTAACTTGAGTCGTATCAATATTAGCTATCCGTGGACGCTTTCACCTAGTTTGCGCGGTATATGTGTTGGCATTGTTGATGATTCTCGACTCTTCGAACGTCTTCTTGCTTCATGCCCAAATTTAACTCGTTTGGATTTGAAAGGATTCCAACGTATACGTATACCTTTACTTACTTTTCAGCATGCTAATCTAAAAAGACTTCATCTAACTGGCAGCCTGCCATCTGAGTCTGTCGATAATATATTAGCGATGGTACCTACTTTAGTTCACTGCAGTTTCAAATGGACAGTACGACAACAGCCTTTAGTCTATTTTCAACATCTTAGTGACACTTTTAATATTTTTCTTCCCAATCTCAACCGATTCAATTGTGACTTTTTGTTTACTGGTCAATATGAAGATTTTATTAGAATCGGGTCAAGTTTAGAACAATTACACCCGTGTTTCAAGCATCGCATCCAGTTTACAAAATTGAGCTATGGCCGAGTACGCATACATACCAAATAATCCTGTCAATATTTTCTTATCTGCAGTACTCTCGGATGTTAGCAAAGTTTCATTTCGGATCTTAACTATTCAAAAATCGATGAATCATCTCAATGAATCTTACTTCTCAAGTTCAAAATTCAAATAGAAACATATTTGACTACAGATGGGCTTTAAAAAACAGTACTAATGATAGGAATTCATTTATAAAAGAGATATTCAGAGAATTTCGATGATTTTTGGTAGAAATAGTTTATTTAAACGGAGAATCGGTTCTAAGTTTTTTTCATCTATTGAATAAGTGTTCGTTTTGTTTTGTTTTTTTTTGGATGAAATTGAATTCTCGACAGACAGTTTGGTATGAAGACTTCGAATCAATCAGTTCTAAAGATTGAAATAAACGATAAACAAAAAGCTACAAGCTATGACTGAATGATCACTAACCTCACGCTTTTTTTCATCGAAAGCAATAATACAACACTTTTCTTTAGAAAGAAAAAATGAAAAACCTAAAACAGATGCTTTCTTATATAACACGATGTGCTCTATCTAGCTTTGGTAAAAAAAAGTAGAAAAATAAGTTTTCGCTCAACTTTTTGATAATCGGCAACTTACCAACAGACAGGCATCCCAATTAAATGGGTCAGCTCCTCTCTCCAAAAAATTGAAAAAGTGTTCGAATTTTTTCAAACTTTTTAATACTTTATCGTAAACGTTCGCTACTAGAAGACCAAGATTGAAGAAACATGTATTGAAAAGGATAGTAGATCTTGCTGTGACATGATGAAATACTCGTCTGCTCTTTCTCTCCTTATCTGGATCTGTGCTTCTCGCAGTCAATACAGCCAGAATATTATTCAAAGGAAGTTTCTATTCAATTTTAACCTCTGACGTCCTTAAGAAACATTGGAAGCCATGCGAACATGAAATGATATTTATCAGACACATTTAACTGCAATCGAAAATTGTCGAGCACTCGTATGAGCGAGATTATTTATTAAATCGTCTTAAGCACAGGTTGTTTAAGACAGTTTTCATGAAAAACAACTTCTAGTCTACTATTCGTCATAAAACTGAAACCATTTTCTCCAAAATTCTTGTAATCAAAATGCCTTTCTCGTTTGTTGTCACACAGTTGGATGTAATTCAAATATGAAGCAAAATGTTAAAACACGACTCAATGAATAAAATTTAGATTAAAAAGCTTTTTAGCATTCGTGAAACTCGATTTCGAAAAATAATCGTTTGTGATGGTACATTTATTCATTCTGTTGCTATTGCTGCTTGACATGCATTCACTTTGATTATTTTCTTATTTACTCCACAATCTTCAAATAGAGTATGATTGGGCATTTGATCAGTGCAGACACTCATTGATCTATCACCGCTTTTGTCTACCAATTCTCTACCACTGAAAGATAATTATAAGAGCCTCTTTCAAATGAGAACTTACTCGATCAGTTTGTTACCAAGTTTTGAAAATAATCTTATTTGATTTCAATTGGAATAAGTTATTCATTGATCGAAATTATCGAAAGTAAATACCTTATAAGTAGATCAACTTTTCCTTTTAGTCACACCAATGTATTTTCTGAGTGAAGGTTGAATAACATGCTCGACAGTTTCTATAGAGATACCAGTGTCACGAAAGATGGCACCAACAAGTGCTTCGAATATATCAGCTAGACCTTTGGAAGCTATTGAATCAGCCCATTGAACAAGGCCCTAAAAGAAGGAAAAAAATGTCTCCGAAGTTTCTTTTCCTAACAGCTGAAGTATACCAAAATGCATGTACATTGACTTTCATGCAGTAGAACTTTCCTGAGCTCATGAGATATTATTACTAGGTGAACGATATTTGAATCATGATTCACAAGTTTCAGAAAAATTAAGAGTATCTCCAAACTTTGCGAATAAATAAAAATAATGCAAAAATGTCTATCGAGCTGAATTTTTCCTGATAAAAAAGGGCTCATAGAGTCTATGAGAAACCAAAATTAAAAACGATCTTAGGCTTTTCTTCAAGATCTGTCTTATTCCAAAAGAATTTTTGGTGCACAAAAAAAATATACAAACTCAAATTACTTCATATATAGACAACAATTTTGTGATAAAAGCCGAGTTCTCATTATCACTAACAACAACTACAACAATTGTAACAGAAAATCTTCATCGAAAACAATTGGAAGTAAAATGGATGAAAATCGACATGGATCAGATGACGAACAATAACATGATCTTAATACGGCAATTAGGAGATGGAAAAAAAATTCAAAACGTGAATCTTCTCCACAATAAGCGTAACGAAAGAGCGGGAAAAAGAATGACAACTAAAGACTGTCGAAATTTGACGATGATCAACTAGATTCTTATTATTATAAAACACATTTAGACATTAGTAATGGCGATAAAAAGCCGTGCAAGAGTTATGAAGAACAAGAAGATGGTCAACAATAAAATGAAAACAATGAAATCTACGTGTTCCAACGTGCGTTAAAATTTGTTGATGAAAAAAGACTTACATCAATAAAAGTGCAGTGTGACGCAGAATTGAAAATTCAA